CCCTAGGGGTCGCGGACCCTCTGTTGAAGACCTCCGCTCTAAAGGCCTTTATTTTGTTCATCTTGAAAGAATACAGATAGGAAAGCGGGTTAGAAGAGAGGAAATTTAGCAAAAGTGAGCAAGGCTGAGAGTCAAACCTGCAACAGCCAGTATATGGATCATGCGCTCTTCCTAAACGCCATAACAGCATAACAATAGCAAATATTCCCCCAATGGTGTTATGTTATAAACAGTAGACTAATACTAATATTGTCTAATATAGCTCTTGTAAAATGTTTTAAAATGTTTTTTGAGGTCACAACGCAGACTAAATCAGCTTGGGCAAGGACAGAAGGCCATAATAAAATCTTTTGATGTGTTGTAGCGTTCAAGTAATGCCTGAAATGTTAAAGAATTTGTGGAATAGTTCTGACCAAATGCGAGAAATACCAGGTTTGCTTATTTACACCTGGACAAAAAAAAATAAAAAAAATCTAAAGTTCTGGAAACTTTTCATTTGAATGCTTTAGGAAATTTCACAACAGGACTTCAGGATTTTCAGTTTTCCAAAAACTCAAAGTAGCTGCTATTTTTGTGCATCTGCATATGTATTGATTACGTCACTGTAGTGACATAATTTTCAGGAAATATGTGCAACTTTTTTAGAACAAAATGCACTGATGATAACTAAAATCCAAATGTAATATACTGTAGGAAATATACTGCCTGAAACTGTCTATATAAGTGGACCGATTTGATTATGAACATATGTACAAAATTTGGATCAGTGTTTCTTGTAAAGCTTTGGAACAGGGTGTCCCTGTATTTTTTCAGTATGTTATAACATTTGATGGAATAATTTTGGCTGTGACACCATCCTGGAGAGAAATATCAGCCATGCTGCTGCCATCAACACCTTTGTTTATAGATGTTGGAGATCAGCCTGTTTTCCAGTGTCGTCCTGTTTCTCTGACTGTGACTGGCTGGATGTGCTCTCTTCATCCTCATACATGGGAGCTGGCTCGGAGCTCGTCTGCCTGGCTGTGTGTTTCCTGGACGGGACCGCCTTTTACAGTTGATTTTTCTATGTCTGCTTCTGTCTCCTTGAACCCCAGTTGGCCTCAGCAGATGGCCGCTCACACTGAGCCTGGTTCTGCTGGAGGTTTCTTCCTATTAAAAGGGGGTTTTTCCTCTCCACTGTCGCTACAAGCATGCTTAGTGTGAGGATTGCATCTGAGTCAATGAGTCGATGCAATCAACTGGTTTTCCATACATAGAAAACTTTGAATCAATTTGACTGTATGATCTGGTGAACTGTAAAATGCCTTGAGATGACATGAGTTGTGAATTATAATATTATAAATTTAAAGTGCTTATATAAATGGTGAGTTTGGTTAATTTTTACATAAAATATTGATTAGTACTTTAAAATTCTATTGTTAAGAAACAAAAATGGATATGGTTTAAATTGTTTGTTAACCTGTGTTTTATCTTGGAAAATGTCTGAAGTTTTCTTCCAAAGCTAAGGTAAGTCATGTTTGTTTACCTCCCCTCAGGTCTGCAGACACAGCATGTAAACACATGGACCAGATGGATGCTGCTCTCACTCTGCATGGCCTTTACCAGCCCATCCTAACGCTATACCACAGGGAAATTAAATAAAAGCCCAACATAAACACCACAACCAGGGGGGTCTGAACAACCCCCCAAAAATAAAAATAAAAAACAAGTCAGAAAAAACACCTACATCTGATATAAACCCGAAGAGGATCAGTTACGTATAGGAGCATCATTGCTTCTCTCTGGATAACATTTCACCCTCCATCAACAAACGAAGACATGCCCTCGTCTCAGGCTCCATCCGTCTATTGATTTTATTTATTTAGGCAGGAATGAGAAGGAGAGAGCAGCTCTTACCTTCCACATCCAGGCCATTCTTCTTCTTTCTAAGCACACAATGGTTGTTCGCTGGTTTTCTGCAGCCTGTAAAACGCGCTCACCAAGTCCGTCTGGCCACATGTAAACATAACAGGACGCGGTGTGGATGTGATTTAAATTGGTGGGTTCGAGGTTTCCATGTATGTTGGAGTAAACCGTTATTCGGTCTTCTTTCTCTCGCGTTATTTTAACCCCCCCTCCCAATCCACCTCCTCTCCACTCTCCACAGAGCTGCTACTCTTGGAGCCTGGTCCCGTTCTACGTTGCTATTGGTCAGCTGGGGGAAAGTCCCGCCCCCTCCTTGTCACGTGGCCCTGGCTACTTTGTCAATATGAGGAGAGAAACATGAGACAGCCCTGTACATTTACTGCTGGGATGTTAGATTTGATGTCCAATTAATTTTTTT